ACCATCTTCACTATTCTCCTTCGAACTGGAAGTAGCAGTATTACTTTCAACATGTTTTTTCTTGGTCCAACAGTCTTTTGCCATGTGACCCATCTTCCCGCAGTTGTAACACTTGCCATCGAACTTTCTACTATTACCGCGATTCTTGGATGCTCCCCCTGAATGAGGGCCTCCATTTCCTTGGTAATTTTTTACCTTGTTGCCATCATTTTTAGATCCACTGCCAGTATACCGCTGAAAAGTGCCTCTGCTTTTGCTGGTGTAGAGCACTTCCTCTTCACCTTTCAGCGAGACTCCTCCCATTTGCTTGTCCATGGCTTCTTGACCTGCAAGCAAATTTTCGAACTCAACAAGCGATGGTTGTGTCGGTCATCCCTGTACATCGATAACAAACCCTCGATATTCGGGTCTCAACCCATGGACAATTATTATTTTTTATCCTGGCTTCCCCAATAGCAGTTGTTGGATCTAATTTTGAAATTTCGCGGCATATCGACTTCACCTTGTGAAAGTATTGGGTAATCGCCATGTCGTGTTGCACCATTGATAGAAGTTCATTCTCGAGAAGTTGCAATTTTGTATCGTTCCTCTTCGAAAAGTGTATAACAAAAGTGTCACATGCTTCCTTTGGTGTTTTAGCATCCCAGATGTGCTCCAACATTTCTTATTCAATTGTGGTCTTTAAAGCAAACATTGCTTTGCCTGCTTTAATTTTCCACTTTCGCAAGATGCCATTGGCATCTTCTGCCACCGGTTGTGTAACTTTACCACCCACCGACAACCTCCCAAAGGTCTTGACCTTGTAAGTATGACTCCCCATACATGTTACCCACGTGTTGTAGTTTTTGTTGTTGAACTTCTTGATTCCTCCAACTACTTGAAGATCACCCATCTTAACGGCAAGGCTTTGACTACACCGAACAAGCTTCAGTAACAAAGGTGCAGAGTACTAAATTACTCTAAACATAAAGAAGCTCCATAAGGTCTGTAATAACCCAGACCATAATCTCAAGAAATTTTTTCTGATGTGGAAGATCAGTTAAAAATTGCAGCCATAGAGCATACTCGGAATTTAAAGAGACCTTAAAAATGTGGCTCGGATACCAATTGTTGAATCAAAATAGAGTAAAAACTCTAATTGATTGAGAAGAAGAAAAAAATTTCTTTAGAATAATCTCACAAAAATGCAAAAGGGGAGAACTCTTAAGAAAGCTTTCAAATGCTTATAATTAAGCTTTGATTGTTGGATGATAAAACTCAAATACAAGTAGGGTATTTATAGGTTACAAGAAACAATCTAAACCTCAATTTTCACCTAACTAAATTGATGTAAGCAATGACATCAAAACTAAATTGAAGTAAACAATAGCATTAAATTAATTTAAGTATGAACTTATTTAGGCTAATATAGAATTTTCAACTAGATATTACTCAGAAAAGAAGAAGAAAGAAGGTTTACTCAAGATTGAAATGTTTTTGGAAGATTACAGAGCGTTTAAACCCTCGAGATACTCCTTTGCTGATGTTAAAAGGATAACTAATCATTTCAAGGACAAACTTGGACAAGGAGGTTATGGAACTGTCTTCAAAGGCAGACTTTCCACTGATATTTTGGTTGCTGTCAAGGTACTCAATAACTTCAAGGGAAACGGTGAAGAATTCATCAATGAAGTGGGTTCAATGGGAAGAATCCACCACGTGAACGTGGCTCGTCTGGTCGGGTTTTGTGCCGATGGATACGATCGAGCTCTCGTTTACGAATACCTACCGAACGAGTCATTAGAGAAGTTTATATTTGCAGCCAGGGAAAAGGATCGATCCCTTAGCTGGGAGAGGCTTCATGATATTACTCTCGGTGTAGCCAAAGGTATCGAGTACCTCCATCAAGGTTGCGAGCAACGAATCCTCCATTTCGACATCAAACCTCACAATATCCTGTTGGATCATAACTTCACCCTAAAGATATCTGATTTTGGCCTTGCTAAATTGTGTTCCAAGGATCAAAGTGCCATCTCGATGACAACCGCTAGAGGAACCATGAGCTATATCGCACCCGAGGTACTGTCTCGCAACTTCGGAAACGTCTCGTATAAGTCCGATGTTTATAGTTTCGGAATGCTATTGTTGGAGATGGTCGGACGAAGAAAGAACATCGATGATAAAGTGGAGAATACGAGTCAAGTGTACTTCCCGGAATGGGCTTATAATTGTTTGGATAAAGGAAAGGAACTGGGGATCAGAATTGAAGATGAAGAACAAACAGAGATAGCAAAGAAACTCACAATTGTTGGACTTTGGTGCATTCAATGGTACCTCGTCGATCATCCTTCGATGAAAGACGTGGTTCAAATGTTAGAATGAGACTTGGATGTTCTTACGATGCTGCCGAATCCTTTCGCATCGACAGATCTGATGAAGATGGGAGCCATCATACCTAGGAAGCCGGTTAATAGAGAGCTACCTTCTATATCCAAAATAGAATAGGAACAATCTCAAATCTATAAATATTTCATTAATAACATTTCAAAACCAATAAAAATCTGTTTTATATGAGATGCCTAGAATACTTTTGTAAAATAATTCAGGAGCAATGTATCCTAATGTACTATGAGCCATTGAAATTCTATCTATTAGTTGAAGGTTATTACAGAAGCCAGTTTTCCTTCTTTGGTGTTTTTCTTCTCAAATTTCCACATTTTCCTCAAAGAATCCTTTTATCTTAATGCAGTGATAGTAATATTTTTCAGTACCTTTCCATTATATAAAAGGTATAAAATCATTTCAGTTGCACACATGCTCAGGATTACATTATTTGAAATACATTCCGGTTCGTCAAACACGAACCGCAAAGGATTGGTCCTCCACAAGCTTCAATGAGCTAGTGTATGCGCAACCTGATTGGCCTCTCAATTTACACATTACACATTGAGGTCTGGAGAATTTTCAAAAGTTATGGGTGCCTCGTTGAATAACGATGAGATAATTGAAATGTCTTTATGAGATTTAGTTATTCGATTAACAATAGAGATGGCATCTCCCTCCACAAGCCAATGATGGTCTCTAGCTACCACACCGATAGCAGCTTCTCTGGTGTTGGGGATGAATGCCCCATCAACATTAATTTTGATTGCCCCTTCAATGGGTTTTGACCATCGCTTAACCGGTCTTTGTCAGTCATGTTGAAGACCTGCAATCCAGACTCCAGAGGCCTCTTTGAAGTTATTCCCCAGCAGCTATGCAGCAACAGAGCTTCCTGCGGTAGCGAGCAATCCTTTAGAGAGTGTAGAGATGTCTCATCATAACATTTAAGCTTCTCTTTTAAGTAAACCTAGGGGGATATGCGAAATAGTTTTAAACATATACGGTGCTTGGGGATATAGAAACACTCGGTTTGTTCCTTTGAGCTATTGGTCTTCAGTCTACATCCTTGCCTTGAGCTTCACAATGACCACAGTCTGGTTTATTCCATCGTAACCGAAAGAAGATATGGAGAAATCGGTGCTAAGAAGTTGCCAATCATGCCGCAATTTAACAAGTTATCCTTATATGCATAGCCATCAGAACGAAAAGCTATAATATGAGAGTCATATGTGCTTAAGCAATCGACTTTATTTTCTTCATACAGAGCTTCATCTTGGCTTGAACACTCGAGCAAGGTGTAGGATTCAGCCAGTTCGAGTTCGTCCACGAATGGGAAAGTAGATAAATTGAGATCCAAAAGTTGTAGCCAGAGGCAACGACTGGGATCGTACAAGTCAATCAACCGAGCTTCATAATCGATGTGCTTCACCAACAGCTTCATCGACCTTGGAAGCTCCAACAAGGTCTGGTTGTTTCCAGAGCACGAAAGTTGAAACCCGGGATGAAGATAGCCACAGTGGGGTGGCTGCTGGTCTTGTAATAGGAACGGGAATCAGACGGGTGGCTCATGGTGGTTGCACCGCCGCACATGGCAGTTGTCTTGGACTGAGACAACTCTGCAACATTGGCAATCAAGACAAGGCAGAATAACGAGTAAAATACCATTGCTATTAGAAATATGTGAGCACCTGAAGTGAAACGTTCCATCGATATAGGTGGTTCAACTCTTCAGAGTAAAATACCAATATCAATGCTTTGTCTCGGTTAACAGGATGATTAACAACATAATTAAACTATAATTTTAAAGACATAATATAAATAACTCTAATTATTATAGTTAAAAGAAACATATTTAAGTATCAGCTTCCCGGAAGTAACTTTTTTCGTTTTCAATATCAAAATCATTAGCAAGTTCTTAAACCGGTGAGTAGTCTGTCAAAAAAGACTTTAAATTACAACTTTCCTAGTAGGTCAGTGGGTTGCCGTGAAGGGATCCATTGGCCGCCCAGTCGTAGTCGAGTGTCTCAGTTTTTCCAAGAAGCTTCAACGACGCTCCCAGAGCTAGTCGATAGCAAATGCTCAAGTCCAATAACTTCAAGATTGATGGACCAAGTCCACACCAATCACCAGGTGCTCATATACTGAATTACATGTTCCTAGCTTTCTTCTTCGATGGGACACTAAAATTGATTACACGTTTTGATGTAGAAGTAATCAACAATACAGTTAGCACTTGTCATTTGTTTCATTCCCCTCATCAATCAATGAATGGTGTTTTATTTCCAAATATGATAAAAGGTTTCTGAATATCCAAGACTAAGAGCATTGACCGACTTATATTAACCCTTTTTCCACTTTTTCTTTTTTAGTTTGTTGATTTTTCAAAGGTAGATGTTGCTTTCTTTCAGTTACAGCCATAGAATAAATGAGTTATTGACAGTGAAGATTAAATATTTCTTTTTTAGTTTGTTGATTTTTCAAAGACAGATGTTGCTTTCTTTCAGTTAAAGCCATAGAATAAATGAATAATTGACAATGAAGATTAAATATTATCCCATTGTTTATTTCCTCATTGGATTTCCACCGGAAGGTCATGATGTTAGTAGACACCCGTTTTTGTCCGGATCAAAAAATATATATTATTATTATTATTTTATTATTTTGTCTACAAATTTTCAGGCCTATTCAGACCCAATTACAAGCAGAAACCCAGCTACAACCTGGTTCATTCCCATAACTGATTCAGACTAGACCCGAACCGACCGAACACCACACTCAAACCCGTTAGTGTTTTCATCTCAAGCCCTAGCCACCTCCAGCTTTCCATCATTGGATCTGATGCCAATTAACGGTCCAAGATGTATTTCCAGATTAGGGTTAACCCTAATATATCAAGCCATCAGCTTAGCCACCGCTTGACACTTTTGCTCCCACCGACGTATGAGCCGCTGCCGAGCCATCGAGCCGCCGTCGATGATTCCCACTCAATCCATCATCCACAGTGACCCCAAATCAATCCAAGTCAGAGAAAAATAAAAAAATGAAGACAAGTACCAAAGATATCCCAAAAGAGATTTAAGTTCTGCCACTACCTCATCTCCTCGGGCAGCAACAAGAAATCATATCAAGCATGCAACATAAAAGAAAAAGGTAGAGGGAAGAGGAGACCATTCGGGGGGTTTTGTGAAAAAAATAAAAGAGAAAACAAAGGGGTTTAAAAAAACAACGAGAGAGATAATCAGAGAAAACTATTTTTGAAAGAAAAAAAAAAGAAAAAAAAACCAAACACAGAGATTGAGGGTTTCAAAGAAATAAAAATAAAGAGAAAGGGAAGAGAAGAGAAGTCTTACCAAATACCATGTTTGTCGGAGGCGAAAAGAGGTCACCGGATCTTCGTTTTCCCGAAAGGTGTAAACCTAGATTTTGGATTCTAGGAGAAGTTTTAGGGAAAAGTGAGTTAGGAATCGGGTTGGGGGTTAAGAAAGGAAGGTTTTGAGGGTTTGGGTTTACTCCGGCCGTCGTGCACTGCCACGGTTGCCACCGTGAGCTGCCGTGGTTGACGCTGACGAGGGGAGTTAAGAGAGTTTTATAACTCTCTCTCTCCTTTTTTTTGAAGCAATTGAGAAATGGGGAAGGAAGTGGGTAGACAAGCCCATTTTGGGGCATAAATAGTGTGATCAAAACGACGCAATTTTGACTCCCCATCTCCGTGTTTTTCAAAGTTTTAGGGTTAACTTCTGGGATGGTCCTTGTAGCTTTATAATCTCCCATGCATGTTTGTTAATGTAAAAGAGTAATTTCAGCTTTAATCTCTGTGGCTTTGTAAACTCACTCAGTGTGTTTTTATATTTGGGGTAAATCCCCGTTTAGGTCCATGTATCTTTGAATTCTTGTACATTGATCTTTGAATGAAATATTACTTTATTTTGTTTCGAGCCTTTAATTTTCAATATTTGTATTTAAGTCATCAGATTGTATATCGTGATATGTTAGTTTATTTTTTAATTTGTTCTTGTGATTTATGCTTGTTTCATTTTAGTCACTGATTTTATATGTTATGTATTTTTGTTAATATTTAAATATGGCCATGACATTTGTAAATATCTTATTTTAGTCACTTTTTGTATTTGGTTTAGTTACTGTTTGATCATTTATGTTTCTGTTTATTTCATTTCAGTCATGTATATTATCTATGGGTTATTTTTATTTTTGTCCCTTTATTTATTTTAAATTGATTATTGGGACTCTGATTTGTTTATATTTATTTATTAGGTCCTTCCAATTTTTGTTAATACCAGTTTAATCCTTTAAACTTCTGTTTTTTCTATACTAGACCTTTGAGTTTTTGTTTTTTCTATTTTGGTCCTTCAAGTTTATGTTTTCCGATTTTGGTCCCCAACATTATAGAATGTGGGTATGTTTTGTTGTTTGTAATCGGATATGTACTATTTTCTTGTTTATGATTGAACCCTTTATATATATGTATTTGTTTTACATATTTTGTATTTTTATGTAAATGAGAAATTTTATTATGAAGAAAATCTACGAAGACATCTCCCGACTGCAAGGGCAGGTGTCTTTTCGAGGATTTTTCGCATAAATGTGTATTTTATATTCGATATTTTTCTTTGTTCTACGTTTCATTATTTCGAGTAATTTTCACCGCTTTTGCACTTTTATTTTGTTTTATTTTATTTTATCTTTGCAAAAATTTACGAAATGACATTTTTGTGAGGATAATCTATGGGAAAGTCTCCTAACTGCAAAGGAAGTGCATTCCCGAAGATTGTTCACACAAAAGATCATTTGTTATCCGAAAGTTTACACTTTTTTAAATAAATTCGAATGAATAAAAGGATCGTAATTTAAATATATTTTTGAGTTTGTAATTCTCAATATTTAAACAATATATAATCGTTTGGGTACCAAAATTTGGGCGTTGTGGGGCTGCTCACCCTTCCCCACATGTAACTGACTCCGGAACTCTTAAAAACGAATCTTTGGTAATGTAGACCATTTTTTACGTTTAAGGTTTCCAACTTACCTAACTTAATGGTTGGTGGTGACTCCAAAATCAAAGCGTTTTTCAAATTAATTTCAAATCATTAATTTTTGAAAAATAAATAGTCATAACTGTTTTATAAAATAATATTTAATTATTTTTGTAAAAAATGGTTATGACAATGTCAAGACTCAAACATCTCTTGTTTAGCTTCTTGGTCCTCACTTTATCTTTATCCCCGGATGTTTCTGACGCTAGACCAGGCCGAAGCAACCAGTGCGGCCGTTCTATGTGTGGAAACGTTGAAATCAGATGGCCTTTTCGACTAAAAGGTCAACCTCGCAAGTGCGGTGACAAAAGTTTTGAACTTGAGTACAAGAGAAACCGCACTAGTTGTCCGATGAAATGGTGAGGAATTTATCGATGAAGTGGGTTCAATGGGAAGAATCCACCACGTGAACGTGACTCGTCTGGTCGGGTTTTGTGCCGATGGATACGATCAAGCTCTCGTTTACAAATACCTACCGAATGAGTCATTATAGAAGTTTATATTTGCAGCCAGGGGAAAGGATCGATCCCTTAGTTGGGAGAGGCTTCATGATATTGCTCTCGGTGTAGCCAAAGGTATCGAGTACCTCCATCAAGGTTGCGAGCAACGAATCCTCCATTTCGACATCAAACCTCACAATATCCTGTTGGATCATAACTTCACCCTGAAGATATCTGATTTTGGCCTTGCTAAATTGTGTTCCAAGGATCAAAGTGCCATCTCGATGATAACTGTGAGAGGAACCATGGGTTATATCGCACCCGAGGTATTATCTCTCAACTTCGGAAATGTCTCGTATAAGTCCGATGTTTATAGTTTCGGAATGCTATTGCTGGAGATGGTCGGAGGGATAAAGAACATCGATGATACAGTGGAGAATACGAGTCAAGTGTACTTCCCGGAATGGGCTTATAATTGTTTGGATAAAGGAGAGGAGTTGGGGATCAGGATTGAAGATGAAGAACAAACAGAGATAGCAAAGAAACTCACAATCGTTGGACTTTAGTGCATTCAATGGTACCCCGTCGATCGTCCTTCGATGGAAGACATGGTTAAGATGTTAGAAGGAGACTTGGATGTTCTTACGATGCCACCGAATCCTTTCGCATCGACAGATCCGTCGACGATGAGAGCCACCACACCTAGGAAGCCAGTTAATATATAGCTACATGCTATACCTGAAATAGAATAAGAACAATCTCAAATATATATATATATATATCATTAATAACATTTTCAAAACTACAAATATCAGTTCTATATGAGATGCTAGTTTTCCTTCTTTGGTGTTTTCACCACAGCATGATGATTTTCCTTGGAGATATCTGGTTTCACATTTTCCTCAAAGAATCCTTGCTTGTTAATGAAGTGATGGTCATCTTTTTCAATACCTTCCCATTATACAAAGGGCATAAAAACATTTCTGTTGCACAAATGCTTAAGTTGATGTGACCTTTTTAACAACCATGGTAAGAACCACGACTCAAAGAGAGACAGAAGACCGAACCATCTGGTAATTCTGATGAATTTGAGCCAGGTTTGTCACAAGGGAGTAATGAAGTCCTAGAGGAATGAATTATGTAGGACGTTTTAATCCAAAAATCACCCTGACATGAATTAATTATCGGTCAGGTATCGATTTAGAAAATTTTAATGATATAACATCCTTTCTGACAAGGCACGGATGATTCACATCTTTCCCTGATGTGACGTCAGTTCGGGTAAGGCGCGAATCATTATCCGCGCCTTTCTGGGATAGGTGTTAAATATGTAAAATTTTCTAAAACTGTACCTGACAAGTAATTAATTTCTTTAGGGTTATTTTTGTGTAAAAATGCCACAGAATATTAAGTAACTGTGTTTTGTTTGTTAGAAAAAATATAAAATTTAATTAGCCAATCATTTTCATTTTCTGTCTTTTAAAAAATTAAGTCCTATGACCATAAAAAAAATCACGTGCCTTTCACACTTATAATTTTCTTCAAATAATTATTTTTTTTCTTTCTTTTTAATATTTTTTTTAATTCTGGAAATAAGATAATAAAATACATTTTTTCTTCAATAATAATAATAATGAAAAATAGTGTCAATAAATTTTGTCTCGTCTCGTCTCTTGATTTTATCATTATTTAATCAATCTTTTTGTGTTGAATACGTTTTTAAATTTAATTGAACTTCAAAGTTATTCTTAGATATGTTGAGGTAATATATATATCGAGTATAAAATTTTTATAAATCTATATTTTAATATGTGTATGATACGTAGATTGAATGAATAATTAATGAATTCTTATAAACAACTGTTGTTTTAAGGGATACATTGTTTAAGGGGATGACACACATTTAAAGGTTCACTAGCATGAACTCATTAAATTTTTATTAATGTGTGATGTTAGTAAAAGAATATAAATTAATGACTCAATTATGAAAATAAAACATATTAGACACTTGAATTATTTTCATTTCAACATTGATTTTTTTTTAAAAATTATTTTTTAATATTATATTTTTAATTCATTTTATTTTGATAATTCCCAGCAGAGTCACCAAGCTGTCATAACATTTATGCAGGGGAATCCGTTAGACTTAAAAAATTTAATTTTGGAGAATGTGATGAAATATGATTTGGAAAAACTGTTTAATTTTGGAGTCGCCGCCAACCATTAAGTTAGGTATGTTGGAAACCTTAAATGATAAAAAAATGGTATGCGTTTTACCAAAGATTCATTTTTAAAAATTCGAAAGTCGGTTACGTGTGGGGAATGGTTAGCACCCCCACAACACCTAAATTTTGGTACCTAAACGATTATATATTGTTTAAATATTGAGAATTACAAACCTGAAAATATATTTATATTATGATCATATTATTCATTCAAATTTATTTAAAAAGTGTCAATTTTTGTATTACGAATGTATTTTTGTGTGAACAATCTTCGGGAAAGCACTTCCTTTACAGTTAGGAGACTTTCCCATAGATTCCCCTCATAAAAGAAATCATTTCGCAATTTTCGTAAAGATAAAAAAAAGTAAAATGAGTTGAAAATAATCAAAATAAATAACTGTGGAACAAAGATAATTATTTAATACAAAACAAACGTTTATGCGAAAAGTCCTCGAAAAGACACCATCCCTTATAGTCGGGAGATGTCTTCGTAGATTTTCCGCACAATGAAATTTTTCATTTTTATATTAAAACAATAATGATTGGAAACATGCGAAATAAAAATATTTACAATAAATCCAATCTTGTTTTGTAGCGTTTGCTCCCATCGTGCTCTTCTTTGATCCTGTAAATCCACTTGTTATAGAGCGCTTTCTTGTCTGGTGGTAATTCAGCTAATTCCCATGTCTGATTTGACATAAGCGAGTCCATCTCATCTTTCATGGAAGACTTCCACTTGACTGAATCCTCCACCTGTATTTCTTCATCATAGCACTTTGGTTCACCATTGTCAGTCAGCAACAAGTAGTGCAAAGAAAGCGAATAACGATGGGTTGGTTTAGGAATTCTGGAGGAGCGTCTTAGTTCTGGTGTGTCTGGTTCTTCTTGAACTGTTTTAGGACTTATCTGAACATCATTTCCAGAAATCTCCTTGAACTTAGC